TATATAAGACCGGTAAGAACTGACGGCAACAATGTAATTGAACTACAGACAGAGATTGACGTGAGTCGTTCGTTGTGAATTATAGCGTTTGTTATAGCGTGACTGTGGAAATTAAGTTTATTGCAAAGTTGTATTTAGAAAAAAATAAACCAGTTTTATTTAAGAAAGGACTTGTATCGCTAAAGTTTCTTCAGAAAGAAATTATACGGAAAATTAACTAACGAACAGAGACGTAACAATATATTCGTTGCAATGTCCTGTTGATCATTGATGGGTCAAAGTGTTTACTACATATTATAGAACCAGTTGTCATTTCTTCTGCAATTTCTTACTCACAGTGCGTACAATGCCTTGTTCTTAGTTTTGACAGGAACTCTGTAATGTGAAATAACCTAAATTAGAAATATACTGCAATAAAATAGGACTCACTCTATTATAAACACTCTTCTATATATATATCACAGTTACATTAATGTGTGTGTTGTTGTTCAAGCAACATACAATACTTTGGGCCACTTGTACTGCATACTGATTATTTATCATAATAATACTGACAGCTCAAGGATTTTGGACTGGAAGGGGCCTCCTGCAAAAATATAATCTCTCATGTAATTGTGAGAATGAGCCTATTGATGGAATGAGGCCTATGTTGGAAATGTTCCCGGATCAGCCATAACGTCATTGATCAGACTAGAATTAACCCAAATTTCCTCTGTTATCCATTAAGCGAAGTGTTATATTAAATATACTTCTACCTTGACACTCAGTAATAGCATCAAAAGTGAATGTACACAGAACTTGTATCTGTAGACAGTGTATGTTTGGCGGCGTCTGTGAATAGCGAGACTGGCCCGTAGTTGACATTAGATTGTTGTGGATGATTACTTCAATTTATATGAGTATTTAATATCGTCAGCACTTCAAATCAAAAGCTGTCAAATTGTCATACCGACTTGTGTAGGTGAAATGCCTTCCAAGGAAGATTCGCTTATATACTTTAAAACTACATGTAAACATTCACGTCAGTTCGATGTCGCCACCATGTACACGGCGATGTCACTCACTGTAACTTGATATATTATAAAAAAAAAGTTTTACTTACTTGTGGAGTGTAACATCCTCCGCCTTTGACTCTTGGTTACGGTATGTATAACAGTTAATGGTATAACACCATGTTCTCTTCGTTCTTTCGGGTTGTAACTTTGACGGACGATTATCACTTACAGCCATTTTACATTGTCTGATAGTTTGAACTTTAACTAACAGCAATGACGGCCACATGCGCACGTGCTCC